TGTTACTCACCCTCCGAGAATTCATAATGGGAAAATTTTTTGAATGGCAAATGCGGCTGAATAGAAAACCCTTTCGGCAAATTCCCCAGATTAACCCCCAGCTTAGATGAATATGAATATTTACTACGAGGGCGACTATATATATATTAGGTTAGGAAAAATTCATTATGAAAATGTCGATAAAATCGTAGAAATGGTCGAAGTTGACCGGCATGTTAACAGTCGTAACATCGCCCAGGAGCAAAAAATCCACAATAAAACTGTTTTAAATCATTTACACAAAGCTGGATTCAAAAATAAGTTCGATGTTTGGGTGCCTCACCAATTAACAGAAAAAATAGGATGAATCGAATTTCCAGCTGCGAAGCCTTGGCCAAATGGAATGAGGTAGACCCGTTTCTTAGACGGATGGTGACGGGAGATGAGAAATGGATCACATACGATAACCCTGTGCGAAAACGATCGTGGCCAAAGAGCGGGAAGCACCTCAAACGGTGGCCAAACCAGGACTAACGGGGGAAGGGGATTATTTATTATGAGTTGCTTCCATATGGCCAGACGCTAAATTCTGATCTCTATTGTCAACAATTGGGCCGTTTGAAGATAGCAATTGACCAGAAACGGCCAGAATTGGCCAACAGGAGTGGTGTCGTGTTCCACCAGGACAACGCTAGGACATACACATTTAAAATAGTCTTATAGTTTTCTCCAACATGATTTATGTAATTTTTCATCCGCTCTATGCATTTGTCGAAGTCCGTTTTCCACTCCGATGTCTCCACCCCCAAAACATGGTTCTTAAATTCTTCCACAACATCTTCTGTCGACGAAAATCGTTGACCATTCTTTTTTATCTTCATTGGGTGCCAATTATTAATCAATAGACACTTGTTGGAGCTGCTGTGTGGAAGATCCCATTGCTATCCTGTACAATAGTTCGTTTTTCGAATTTCTCCAATGAATTCAGGCAATATATTTTGGAAGATCTTTTTTTTTAAGTGGGTTATGGTCACATTGATTACTTTATAGTCTTCTCTGCCTTTCCCGAAAGTAATCTATGTGACCATATCCCACTTTAAAAAAAGAAAGGGATCAAGCTGGCTTACCTAAAAAAGTAAACAAACACATCCCTACAAACAAATGCCACACAGAATCTAAAAATAGACGACAGCACAGTCATTTGAATGGTCATCGCATAACAGCGATACCAACAAACATGTTATGTTGATGCTCTGCAAAGTAGAGAAGCATAACAGTGGAGTTATGGCATGGTTACATGTTCCGCCACAACATTTTCTGAGACTTTTAGATAATTCTCAAACAGATCGTACTCCAAAAGTACTTAGGCTTGACGTTGTGGATGTAACAAAATTGGGGAAGAAGTGTTTTTTGTTTAGTGGAGTGATACATTACTCCCTGGGACAATATCCCAAGCAAAAAACTAAGAGAACTGATGAGGATTTGTGGCGAAATCTGAAACTATAGTCTTCTCTGCCCTTCCCGAAAGTAATCAATGTGATCATAACCCACTTAAAAAAAGAAATACAAATCTTGTTGTTTTTTATTTTTAAAACAACCTGGCTTACCTAAAAAAGATAATTGTATATATATGGACCTGAGCTTTGATATAGTCCACACATGAAGGCATAGTAGTATTATGGCATAGTAGTATTATGGTATTTAAACCATTGTAAACAACAGAAAACATGGTCGTACGTCAAACTCTTCTGTCTACGTTTATCCTTCACCTCCCACTTACGTACTGCAATTATGTTTATTAAATTGAGGCCCTCTTTCTAAAACATTACAACCCCTCACTATGTTCTTCATGACTTTTTATATAAATATGTTTGTTGATAGTTGAAAAATTGCACTTGTCAAAAGTAGCAAAAAATTACAACAACAACAACAGGATTGACGTTGTGAAATATGTTGGTAAAAACAAACTTCAACATTATCAAAACACATTGCATCTCAAAACAACCACAGCAAATGAAAAATGTGTAATTTTTAACACAACACACACGCAGGCAAACATACACATACATCTACGTTATTACATTAAACACCATAGCACACTCATACGGATACATTAACTTGATACAACTTCTGTGATTCCCGCAGGAACAAAACAAAAAACGATTTATGTTTAGAATTTTCATATTTTATATAACTTTATATGTATATACTTGAATATATTTGATTCGACAACGGATGTATGTTTAGACACTATGATAGAATATTAGCTTCCGTTTCGATAACAAAAACAAAATTGGTTTCGTTTTTATAGTCAATTAAAATGAATATTTCGCTATGTAAACAAATAGAAGAGATAATATACACATGTACGTTGGTAGTTCTTTAATTTTTATTACTGTATACAAATATTAGCAACAGCAATCAGAACAATTGTTGATGTTGTTGCTATTAATGAAAATCTTGCAATTATGTTGCACAAATCAACTGCGTAAACATTTAATAGAAAATATTTGAACAAGTTTTCTTGGCATAATGAAAACATAGATTTTTGCAAATAGTTGAGATGAGATAGATGATAAGGGGTATTCAGCTTTGTGAAACGACAATAAATTCGGCCTAGCTGAAGTTCATAAAGACACACCATATATATATATATATATATATATATATTATTTATATTATCTATATGACTGAAGTGACTGACTGATCATCAACGCCCAGACGAAACGGCTAAAGCTAGAGACTTGAAATTCGGCATGTAGGTCGGGTTTGGTCCGTAGGCGTGTGATAAGGCGGGGTTTTGGAAATTCGTACTAAAAGGTACTTGAAAGTACTAAAAACTGAATTGCGCAGGAATGGTTAGACATGAATGTCTGAAATTTGGTACGTAGCTTTTTGGAAATTCGTTTTTTGAAATTCGTACTAAAAGGTACTAAAAAGTACTAAAAACTGAATTGCGCAGGAATGGTTAGACACGAAAGTCTGAATTTTGGTACGTAGCTTTGTCTATGACAAGCGAACTGGAATGCACTGAAAGAAAAAAATTCATCAATATGATGATTTTGGGCATTACTTTGATGAAATGTTTCTTCGATTTTGAGCTTACAACGCGTTTCATCATTATAATGAAGAATTTTACATCAAATTTTCATCAAAAATATTTATCAATTTAATGAAATAATGTCATCATATTGAAGAAAAAGTTCATTTAATTGATGTATTATTTCTTCCTTTCGATGAAAAAATATACTCAAATTGATGTTCTATTATCTCTATATAATGAATATTCTGCATCATTCCAATAAAAGGTATTCATCAAACTTACGTAATTTATTCATTAAAATTACATAACTTCAATGAATAAACTGCATCAAACTAATGTATAATTTACATTTAATCAATGAAGCCCTAACATCGAACTGAATTTTGTTTTCCGCTTTAGAAACGCCGTTCTAAATTTTACAAAATTCAATATAAATACAAATATTTTAGGCATTTAGGAAATATTTTTTATTAAAAAACTTAAAAAATAATTCATTACGGGTTTTACAATGAATATAGATTTCAATATTTCCTTAGAATAATGAATTAATAAATAAATGTGATAAAATTTAAAAATGTACATAAGCGTTTGAATTATATTCAAATACAAAATTAAATATTAAATGTAGATAATTTATATATAAATCAGTTCTCGGTATAATTTAAATCGCTTAAAATATTTAGTATTTTTGAAAAATTTTTTGTGTGAGCTGATTTCATGTCATAGAAGTACTCTTGAACAAAGATCCAGAACTGATTGGATGCTCCGGGAAATTCTTAATTAAATAAGAAAAAGCTTTTGAAGCAAGTATCTAGTGCTCGCTGGAAATCTACAAAATGTAGCAATGCATGGTCTAAATAAACATAGAAATTGTAGTCATTATCTTCTAAATTGTCATCTCCAACAACAAAAATAAAAGGTTGAATATTCTCATTTCTCTTTTCTAAGAAATTTAAGTGGTTGTCTACTTCTTGGATACTTCGTGCGAGGAATATTGACGATTCTTGGGAGTCTTTTATGGTGTATTTCCCATACGTTTTCTTTCCATCTTTATCTTTACGGAGGTATTTTGATGTTGGATATAAGTAGCCGTGTAGACACCAAGTCAAGCGCATCATAAATAAAGACATGTTTGAAGCTACAAAATTAAATAAAAATATTAGTTATTTAATGATATGCATCTAATGAAAATTGATTCGTAACAAACCTGCGTCTGATGGATCAATTCTATCGAAAACTGATTTAATTCCAGCATCTTTAATGTATTTTTCCTTCTTAATCACATTATACACCGTAATAAGTTTAGTTTCCCATTCGAATATTGGTGTGTAGTCTTTATGCAGCACTCCGAAGTCCATGTTAATCTAAACGGAATATCAACACACACATGTAGAAAGAATATTAAATTAAGATGGACATATAAATTAAGATACTTACCAACTTTACTCCAAGACCCTCTTTATACTGTGGCCAGGTTTTAAATATATCCTTAAGGTTATCGTGCTCATCAAAAATTTGACGTATTCGGTAATTTGCGCATGACTGCCACATTTTTAAAAATTGTTCTTGGTCGACATTATCGTATTTTAAACTATGAATTATTTCTTTGGCGTTTTCTTCAGAAACTATAATAAAAACCCAAATTTACTACATTTGTATAAATCATAACGTTTTTTTCGAATAATTTACCGATATAATCTGCAGGTTTGGATGCCTTAGGTGAATTGACATCTCTATCTTTCTGATAAATGTGATTTCTTTTCATATTGTTGTATTTTACATATAGCTTTCCACGTCTGTCGGTGCGGTAAGAATGGAGTTTCTCATTGGGAAACATTTCTATTATTTGTTTTTCCAAATTATAGCTTTCTTGTAAAGACATGCGCAACTCATTTGCATGAAAATAACTAGCTATTGTTGTAATTATTAAATTTCGTTGATCTTCATTTATATGTTCGTATTTTTTATATGTCTCTAAAATTCTTTTGCCAATTTTATTTTGGTTCAAAATTGTCGTCAGTTTTACACAGGTATTGGAGTCAAAGCGTTCTTTCAGAGGTTCTTGAGATAAAGTAATAGAAGAACAGCTAGATTTCCGTGAGATAGACGAAATATTGGCCACGTCTGAGTAATATTCGTTTTCAATAGGTTTTCCGATTTCTTCTCTCCATTTATTAATATTAAACTCAAAAACTATTTTGTCTCCTAATTTAAATCTTCGTGTGAGTTCCTCTAAATGTTTTCTGTTAATTATTTGTAAGACATCAATCGTTATATTTTCATCTGGAAAATACATTAAATAAATAAGCTTTAATTTTAAGTTATATTATATATTACCTTTTAAGTTGGAAAGTAAATGTAGTAAGTTCCATTTTTTGAGTAGAATTTCTAATTGATGTTCAATAGCTGCCATTTTTATATATATTAATATAACTCTTTTATTCTTATCATATATTTTCCTGTATGGGTTTTTATGGCTGTTGTTGGATGTCCAATAAGATTTTTGATATTGACCGCAAAGGCTCCCTCTACTTTGTTGACGTGTATCTCAAAAGCTCTATAATGGCTACAATAAACAACGTCTTTAAATCGTTCACCAAATATATAAATATGGTTATCCAAACAAAATACATTTATAATTCTATAAATATTATAGTCAATTTCGCATTCAGCAACGAAAAGATCCTTTTTGTATACAATGTTTTGTAATATAACCTTATTATAAAAATATAACTGTCTTTTAGGTATTTTAAGTTGAGCACATATATCATCATTTAATTCACACACGGTTAAATCTTTTTGTAAAACAACAAGATTATTGCTTGTAGACGAGTTTAGCAAAAAGTTTGAAAAAGTGAACTGATATTTTTTCTCTAATGAAAAACATATGTTTTTTCGTGAAGTTATAGCATGTGTGTACAACTTAAAACTGCGGTGTTTAGACTCAAATTGGAAACTCCAGAACTTCCGCACAGGTCCGCATTTTCTTATTATTTCCGGATAGTGAACTAACAAATGATATTTTGGTTTCAAATTAGTTTTAAAAAGCCTAATGAAATCTTTATTATGTTTTTCAATTAGATTTTCTAAAGAACTTATAGAAAACTCCGTAACCGAAAATTTGAGAATTTTTTCTACAATTTGTATAAGTGTTAAAATAAATATCCACACCTCATCATCGTCTGGAATCATATCACCAACAATTAATGGAAAATATAATAAAAACGTCATCATTTCCTTTGCTGACATTTTTAAATGGCGATTTTTGAGATGAGTTATAGTAATTTTGGGCGAAATATTTCCTATTTCAAGTTCCCCGTAATCGAACTTTTGTTTTCGAGCATTAAGGGTTTTCAAAGAGAAATATTTCTTGGTATTTGTGAAATAAAGTATGGCAAAAGACAAATCATAATGACAAATTCCTTCGAAAACGTCGTGCATTGCATCTACGCTCAAGTTGTCAACAACATGGAAAGACGGAATTTTGTTAAATACACATTCGCTTACGATGCCAGTCTTAGATGGATCCCCGGTATTTACGTCAAGCCTATAATTTGCATATGTCCTCTTAAGACTTGGAATAGCGGACGTTGTTACGTTACTCATATTTTTGTCAATTCTGCATAATCGGCAAAATGTACCACTAAATGATTTTCTGTAGCCTAATATGGTGTTAAGACCTAAATTATCACCAATAATTAAACAAGGCAAAAAGTGAGGATTATACACTTTACCGTTGTTTAAATCGATTTCAATGCCTGCCACTTCTAGATCTATTAACTGGTTAACAAGTGGTAACAAACACTTGTCGATTCCATGTACTTGCAAGTCACTACTTTTAATTGATGCCGCTAAAAATATATGGTCCAATTTGGTATCTTCATTTGGTAAAACAGGAAAAGAGAAGTAAAAGTTTGTTACGGTATGAGTTGTGGAATGTGCACCCAAAGGATTGTTTAATTCTATATCGTCGGAATATAGAAAGTAAGGAATTACAAGTTGGTTGGGATACATAGCGGCCTTCTTTTTCCACATATCTCCTTGCACGATTTTGGTAAATTGCGAAGATTTGTTTAAAGATTCCATATGATCAATCATTTTTAACAATAAGTTATCTTTTTGAAGAATTTTTTTGAAAGAATGTCTTAGGGAAAGCGTTGCCATTGTGGTCTCTTTTTCAGCGAAAGTTATATTGCCTTTTTTGTGAATGAGCTCGCCGCTTTTGTCAATGACAGAAATGTTTAAATCTTCACACAAATCTCTTTTTTTAAGTTCTTTAGTTAATAAGTACTCAGATTTTATTGAATTCAAAACTTCATTGCAACAACGAATAGTTTTAAATAATTCCTGCTTTGAATCCAAATCTAATTTGCCAGCAAATTTTTTGAAAACGTCTAGAAGTGGTAAAATTACAAGATTGTATTGAGAAGTCTGAATATTTTCAGCGTCCTTTCGACTTAAGTTATTTATGGAATACAAACCAGTCTGAAACTTTAAATTATTTTCAAAAAGATTTTCTATTACTGGTACTTCATCGAATGTTCCAGAATCAGAAGTCTCTTCACAGTGGCTCTCGATGCATACCTCTTTAGGTACATATTTTTTGTGTAGTATATTTTTTTCCAAATTCCTAAAATCACTTTGACTTGGTAATTTTTTCGTGGAGCCGCAATGTTTTTCCACAAATATTTCTCTGTGAACTTTTGTAAGATGCCTTTTAAAGGAACTTTTAGTTGTGAATGCGCTGTTACATATCGTACACCTGAATGTATCACTATTTTGGAAACCATGAAATGTTTGCAAATGCCACAAATATTTTTCTATATTACTAAAATTTTTAGAACATATAAAACACTCCATTTTAACTTACAACACTTCTATTAGCTCCAATGCACAAAAATATTACAAACACTTTTATCAACGTCTGATCACAATAAATGTCACTTTACAAATGATATTTTCTTATTATTCAAGCACTGTTTCGCACGCTGCAGACATAACGGGATTTTCTCAATTGGCATGCCAGAGATGTGACTTTGCATTTTATGCTAGAGTTTCTTTCGTTTATCTGAAAACTACCAAAAATAGTTTTAATACAGCAATAAAATGTTATTGAAGTTTAACCCCGCAAACGGTAGAAAAATTAATAAACTAAAGGATGATATAAAAGACATGTAATAAATTAAAAATCTTAAAACCAATTCTTATTCAAGATTATGTTGTTTAAAGGTAATAACTCCCATGCCTGAATAAGTATACTACAAAAGCAATGTTTTTGTGTGTGCGTGTTTTCGAAATAAACGCACAAACATCAGGGGGTGGAAAAATTAAAACTAAAAACATTTAATGATAGCTTTCTTCAATTTGATAACTAATTTCATTATGATGATTATGACATGATGACCACAAATTGATGAAAGTTTCTTCATTTACTTGATGACGGTGTTTTTCAGCCGAAAACATAAAACATCAAATTGAGCACCGATTTCATAAAAACAATGTTTTTTCTACACCAATTTGATGAAGATTTTTTGATAATTTTTTTTCATTACCTTGATGATGAACTTTTCTTTCAGTGTAATCTTATTCATCAAATAGAAAAGTTATTTTTACAGCACCTCAAGTTATCCGAGTTAAATCCTATGTCAAAGTTTCCATTTCCATGTCTGTCTTTCCGCTAAAATCTAAATATGGCTCGTCATATTTTGTACTAGGCATATACAATTTTGAAAAGAATTTGGTGTTACTAGGATAGTTGGTATTAAAACGGATCATATCTATCCACGTTTTGAAATAACCTCCATATAACTGCAAAGCCTTTTTATTTGGATTTGGCGTTCTTAGAGAACACACCGAAGCCTCCACAATAATCCTTACAATCTTTGAAAATGTTTAAATGTGTAATCTGACATTACATAGTGCTACATGTCTTCGCCCAGAAAATGTTAATATAGACAAATTTTTTGAAATAGTCCTCAAAGGTAATTCACGGATCATTTGTGTATTTTTCGATCCGGCTCTTTTGTTGAAAAAGTGCATGCGATTTTTATTGTGCCATATGAGAGAATGCTCATCAGGCATATACATGCTCATCAGGCATATAGGGCAATAAGGCTTACACATGTCGTTACTTGATATGTTGTATTTATATCGAATTTTGTTGCGAAATTGCATCTACGAAATTTGTCAACACACTAGAACATTTCTTTTTTAGAGCAGATTTTTCTTGTAGTGTCAGACTTTTTTCGTACGGACTACAATATTCTTCCTTCTATGGCATACAACTACAACCTTAGGAAGATAAGGAGGTGGCTAAGAAGCCGGACAACAATCAACAGAAGCCATGGGAAACAGGGTTCAAATCCCAGCCGGGGTCAAACTGCATTTTTGAGTTTTATGCCTTTTTTGTTTTCGACCTTACGAGTGACAGAGGAATTTCTGCAGCTTCTCAATAAGAGCATGTAAGAGATATTCATCTGATTTTTAAGCAACATTAATTCTGATATAGCGAACAATTCTGCATAATTAGACCAAGAATAACAATCAATCGGTAATATTCGGCCGGTGTAGCTGGTGATATTCTTAATTTTATGACATTTATAAGGGCATAATCGACTTCGAGATCGACCCTTTTTCATTGGGTCGCGAATGGCATGGTATCACCTCATAATTAAACATTATGTATTAAATTTCTAGTTTCCCTTTTCCCTAAAACTACAATTTTTGCAATCGACCTATACATATCCAGATTCTCATCACAATTCCTACGCCATCTTGATCTTAAGCGTAGCCTACGAGCATTCATCGTCCTCCTCCATCTCGGAGGACACATTTTTTACTATTCTCACCTACCCCTCTTCTACAACAATTTTAATGATTTTATCTTTCAACTTAACGACATTTTCCTCATTTATTTTTCAATTCCCTTTTATCTAGGCCAGCCTTTTCTCTCAAATATATTCTCTACGAATAATGCTGCTTCAATTAAAACATGAATAAATCATTAACGAAATTCACATCGGAAAAAAGAACCACAACATTTTAACTTCACCAAGCCAAGCAAGAGTTTTGGCCTGGCCTGGCTGACGGGCTGTTTGCCTATCAGCCACGACGCTATTGTTCATTTTGTGGACTACAAAGCCAACATTAAAGAGTGCAAAAATATTTTCAAAAGTTCTCCTTTACTTCCACTTTCTTCTTCCTCCTTCATTATCTGACTAAAGTCATTATGCCGAACAATTGTTATCAAGTGTGAAGCATTCTAGTTGTCCTTCATTCTTTGGCAGCTTGTTGCTTCACTATAGACAGATTTAAGAATATTGAATGAAAATTAAGGCAGGCATGAGAACAATAACATTCCTAAGAACAACAAAAATCAAGATAGGAGAATTTTTTACTTGAAGAAAAAAACGGAATTTTTAAAAATCATTAATAATGTCAGGCGACAATGAATAGCGGCGTGAAGAAAAAATCCATTAATGGCATAAAAAGTTCTACAATGGATTTTTCAACTTTTTCTTCAATTCGTTTTCAATATATATATCCTTCGCATTTTCCAGTACTTTCGTCCCGGGTTTTTCTTGTTCACCAAAAGGAAACCGGAAATGAGAGATTTTTTACGGTGATTTTTCAAGTGCGTGACAAATACAGCCGGACACAGCCTGAGGCCGTTTAAATTGTGAGGAATAATGAAAAGCAAATACATTTTATAATATGTCCCGCGTTTTTCTTGGAAATCAATAAAATTGAATATTTTAATGCTTTTATGGAATTTAACTGGAAATTAACTAAATAGTGTATATTAGGGCGGGCCAAATTGTTTGTCGATTAAATCCAGCCCCTAGGATGATTCTATGAACAATTCTAAGAAACTTTGGTGAAGGAACCATAGGACTATCTCGATTTTTGAGTCTCCCACTGGTTTTTGGGTTCGAGAAATTGATTTTTGTTTTTTATTTTTACCTATTCCAGAGAGCGTAGCATATTTTAACTATTTTTTTCGTCTATTTTCTGAGAAAAATTACAAGTTTTTCGGTAAAATTGGTAAAAATCGAATTTTTAAACAAAATTATGTTACAGGGAAAAGATCATTTTTTGAAAAGTGGGAGACTCGAAAATCGAGAAGGACCTATGGTTCCTTCACCAAAGCTGCTTATAATTTTCCATAGAATCATCGTAGGGGCTGGGTTTAATAGAATTCTTCTGCTCCACACAAATTGACCCGCCCTAGTGTATATCTACCCATTACTTCAAGCACCTTTCAGCTCAAAGGCCCTATTTTTTAACCTTAAATGTTTCTCGTTATGAAAAATTCGCATTTATATACATGTTTGAATAAAGTAATGTCTCCTTTACGTTTCTAAAATAAAAATAATATGTTCATTATAATATAATAAAATTGTATACCAATTAATATTATTTTTTTATTTAATAACTAATGTTTGCATAAATTAAGCTGCACCTAATTTAACCACTATTAAACACCAATTAAATTAAACAGTAAATTTGTAACTTGACTCGAATAATAAACTAATAATCATTTTTATTAATTTGTTTATTTTCATTACAGGTAAATGCATTTTCTGAAAATATATATGTACATAGTTAATGTGTCAAGTAAGTTGTCAATAATTACAATATGTGACCTTTGAAAATATTTACAATAACAACTTTGTTTGTATGTACGTATATGGGGAACATTAACAGCAACACTCACAGCGTAAAAGGAACCGCCATTAGGTGACAAATCACCTTCAATGACGTTTTCATACAAATCATAAAATATACTAACAGAAAATAACAAAATATATACCTATCAGTAAACATTGCAATTACACAGAGTTGCCAATGTGGATAAAAAATTCTACACAAAAAGATTGTATGAAAAAAAGTATTTATATACCTTATTGTTGATCTATACTTTACAAGAAATCTATCAGTAATATAAAAAAAGATGAATAATAGTCGACATTTTTAAATCCTATATTCTAAATTTCAATTTTTTACATTTGCTTGCCAAATTGGCAACACTTAA